GGGGGGGGGGGCGGCGGGGCGGGTTAATGGAAAAAACTCTCAGCTAGTATAAATCGGCACCGCTGCACTAAAGTTATTCACTTAAAGATGTAATAAATTTGAAAGTGCCAAATTTTAATTAATAAAGAGAACAAAGACACAGTAGATTATTTCTTCAGGTCTATTTATTTGTTATTTATTTGTAAACTATGTGGGTGCTTTCTGTAATCCAAAACACAGTTGTGAATGCTGGAGAAGGATGCCAGACCTCTGACAGCCTATCTTAACATGCTGTTTTCTCTTCTTGATTTGCTTACAGGATTATTAAAATCCCAGATTGTCCTGAGGCACTTTGCTTTCAGATACAAGGAGCAGCACCACCATATGTTCATGCAGTAGGAAGAGGTAAGTAGAAAGACTGTGGTATAGGCAAGCTTGGAGCTAAATATATATATATGTGTATATAAAGTATGTGTGTGTATATGCATATATATATATATATCTCAAGACAGACCAAGGTTTCATTGTCAAAGTTGTTCTAAACAAGTTCTGACTACTTATTAAATTAACTGTAATGACTAGGAACCCCTGTCATAGAGAAGGATCACACTATGTATAAAACCATAGAACAAGAAGATAGTTTCTGCCTCAGAGTGTTTATAAGCTAAATACAGTCTAAGAAGATGGTATTGTTTATCATTATTATGAACTGAGTGTTGGGCCACTAATCCAATCAACACAAAACAAGGAATAGCTTAATTCTACAGTAGAAGAAACTTGGTGATGCTGCAGTCCGCAGTATCATGGAAAGTCTCTTGAGAAGGCATTGTCACTTGAGCTCTTGCAAGCTAGAAATGTGCTTGCATGGTGATCCTAACCTTGTCTCTTCTAAGACCACTAAGATACAGCTTTACAACCATAGGCAATAAAAATCTAAAACTCAGATGGCTGAGAAAATGTTGCGGTGTAATGCTGTCTGTTACTTCCTCAATATTTTTGCGTGTGATCAGCCACAGTTTGGATCACTGCAGCTGTGTGTGCTGTGGCATCACAGGTTGGTGGGCAGATCATGTTTCTTAATGGACATCATGAACTATGATGCAAGACTTGAAGACTACTTCTCCCTTTACATTGGCTTATAGTGCTATAAATTACCAATGCAAGATAGAGATGATCTGCTTTTCTTGGTCTTTTTAAAAGGAGAAAACACAGTTTGACAGAGAGATTTACTACTTCTGGAACTGAAATGTGAACTGAGCTACAAGTAAAGCACGGCTCTAACATTTATTTTCAGCAGAACTTTCAGACATGTATCACTTCCTTCCTTCAGAACAAATACATATAGCCAAATATGTGCAGTTGGTATACAGACAGCACACAACACCCAAATGCGACAATGTTCTTGAGGAGAGACATTTATTACATCCTTTCATAACAGCATCTGTAACCACTCTTTAACAGAGTGCAAACTGGAAGTGCCAGCTAGAAAGATTCTCCTTTTTCAGAATTTTGTTAGTAAAAGACAAATTGCATTTGGAATAAAACTGTATTATTAAATAATAGTGCCTTTAAAAAGTTAATCACCTTAACTGTAGATATCTAGGAGCTGGATTGGAGTCTATGTCTTGCTCACGTGGATCTGGATTAAATTCGTTGAAGTCAGTTATCATACTCTAGACCTACTCTGGTTTTGACTGCATCATCATATTTTTCTTAGACCATGGCAGATTGCATAACACGCAAGTGTTCTGTATCTTTCAAGTGCAACAAGCTGAAACAAATATAACTGTTTACATTTAAGCAAGACCTCAGCTAATGTAATTACAAGGCTAGAAGAGCCATATAAGAATGTCACATGATTTCCCACAGGAATTTCCGTTTCTGGGATGAATGCATTTAGGTCTAAGAGGGTCTCTGTTTTTCCCAGCACTACTGCAAATATGAAGGACAGATGCATGATGTTTTCCTTGTACAACAAAGCTCTTAGAATTAGTACTTAGAAGCAAAAGCATGACAACATTCAACTAGCTTTTCTTCTTTTTATTCTTAACCAGAAACCCTTTGCAAACTTTTCAGTTTTCCGTAGTCAGATGGCTTTACTGTATTAACTCCCGTCCTGTTGACTTTTTAGGTTCTGAGGCTGCAGCTGCAGGCCTTCATCCAGGGCAGTGTATTTTGAAAGTTAATGGGAATAATGCAACACATGGAAATTATATGGAAGTTCTGGAGCACTTTACAGCCTACAGGACCAGACAACAAGAAGCACTGGTATGAATGCAAAACCTCAAAGGAAGCACACTTCTGACCTCCTCGTCATCAGAAAAACAACTTACACATGTCTCTTTTGGCTTATTTACTCCCATGCCAAGTTCCTACTATAACTAAGGGAACTGATTATGGTTGCCTATAGTTGCAAAACTTCTACAAATAATATGTGTGCCAATTCATACGCTGTATACAGTACTAAATATTATTAAATATTGCTAAAACTAGAAGTTCACCCAGATACTGATCTAGATTTTATATTCTCTGAAGCTTAAAGGAAAGCTGGGGGCATGTTGATGTTTCAGTCAACTTAGAAGATATAAAATTGATAGCTCGATTTACCTTTGTAGTCCAAACATATAGAGATCGGACAATTTTACTGAGGTCATAGCTGAAGCCTGTATCTCTTGCCAGGGGTTGTACCAGTGGGTGTATAGAACACATGAAGATGCTGAGGAGGACAGAGTTCAGCAAGCAGCATCCACTGCATATCTGAACGGCAGTCATCCTGGCTCCAGCAAAGACAACTCTTCACTGGAAGGAGGTGCAGAATTGGATCCCCTTCAAAATAATCAACAGGAATCAGGTAAACATTCTCATGGGAGAAGGAAACCTAGGGAAGATTCAGGGACTTCAGGAAGGAGAATTGCAGTACAAATATAAAATGTAATTATTGTTGTAGACATCTCTTGTCTTAGTAAAGCTTAATAACAGGATGAGATCTGTCAGAAGTACTCTTATCCTGCAGTTTATTCAGGAGAAGAAAAAATTGACATATGCACAGAAATACCCCTGTGGCTCTCTGATCTTTACAAGAGCATCAGTTCCTGGAATGAAAAGGCTCAGCATTTTTAGCATCATTTGGTAGCCCCTGCAAACCAGGAATTTATAGGCCATGGCTGGAGAGGGAAGGTCTGCAAGTAACTCCACCTAGAATAATTATGTTTTCCGTGATTTAAAATTAAAGGTTAAGATTTTAAATTAATTTGATGTAGAGCAAGTTTCCAGAGCATGTTACCAGTATGTTAGCAAAAGTTGTGGGTGCATTTCCTCCAGCTTAGAAAAGTGTAACTCATAAAAGCCACTGCTTTACCTTCGTGTTGGGACATTATTCAAAAAAGTGATATTAGGGGAGAATATTGAAGACAGATTTAGTCCAAAGGACTGGGCCTGGACTCTTTGAATGCCATTGGCGACTTCTCCAGGAACAGATGCACATCTGTGTGGATCCCATCCAAGGTCTGGTGAGCCTGGTAATCTAGTGGTCAGACAGTGCAGCTCCATGGTGGATCAGCTGGAGCAGTGCCCTGGTAAAGACATGTGAGCAATTCTGTGGCAAATCTCAGTCTGACTATAGTTAAAATCTGTTCTCTGGTGACAACAGTGTTGCTGTGTGTAAAAAGAAAATGTTACCTCCTCACCCCACCCCTGCCCTGCCATCTCAGCCTTACAGCTCCACAGAAAATGCATCTGGAGCATTTCTCAAAATTGGACAGAAAAGTGGCAGTCCTCAGAGGATCATTATAAACAGCAAGACTCCGAGGTTAACATACTTCACTTCCCTTTGAAAGCTTCTGCTGGAGTCTGCGTGTCTGAATGCTAAACAGAACTAAAGTAGTGTCCTGTGCATGGACGTGTGCATGCACATGTGGAAGAACATGAGAATGAGCATTGGGGTGTGTGGATTGTCTAAACCTCCATCACTGTCTCCAGTAGTGACCAACAGCAAATGTCTTCCTCAGAATATTCTCCCAGCCCCTAGCAGTACGTGGTTCAGGGGCTCCTTGAGCCAAAGATTGTGTCTTTGTGTCTTTGCATTTAATGATACCTCTCAACAGATTTCTCTTCCCTATGTGTGCGTGTATGCATGGGTGCTGCCAAACACCTCTAATGACTTATTTTGATTTTTAGCCCAGACACCACAGACCACCAGCTCTCCACTGGTCACTGGTGAAGAAACACCTCTCGTTAGCCTGACTGTGGATAACACCCACCTAGAGCATGGGGTGGTGTATGAATATGTCAGCAGCGCAGGAATCAAATCCTTTGTCTTGGAGAAAATTGTGGAACCAAAAGGTTGCTTCAATCTCACCGCAAAGGTACTGGAAAACATACATGGCCAGCTTCATTCCCAAACAGAACTGGGAAGCCAGTAATATAGGTATTTCTCTAGTGGCTTGGCTTGGCTTTTAAGATGAGGTAGCACATGGTCTTCTCAACCCTGCCTGGGGTTTTCTTCACTAGAGTGCACCAAGTTGTAATAGCTCGTTTGTTATGGAGCAAGTCAGCAAATGCTTCCTGGATTTCAGCTGTTGAGGTAGAGGGAGGGGAGCCTTTAGCTGTCCATAACATACTCTTTGCTGATACTCCAGATGAAACTTTTCAGGCAAGAATTTGCTTTACCTTGCAAGAACATCAAGCAGCTTTATGCCATCTGATAGACTGGATGGGGCACCAAAGGAAGCAAGTAAAACTGCTGCTATTGAAATGCAACAGTGCACTTAGTATTTTGGTCATAATGACAATGACAAGCTAATAGTAGATGTTCCTGTCACATCCTAGTAATATTATCATTGTGTCCCATGAAAGTAAGCGAGAGCAGGTAACTTTGACAGTGCACAGTGGATATTTTAATCCATTTCAGTTATTCTAAAAAATGTTGAAGAATGTTTTATGACTCCGGGGATTAGACATGACAGTCATTCTCAAATGGTAATAAAGGCAACTTGTTCTGAATGCAGCTTTATTCAGCCATGACAACATCGGGGCTTTACCACTTATTCAGTGGAAGAACACTGTATTTTCCCTCACTATCAAGTGTCATATTGACATCCTATCTTTTTGTTTAGATTTTAGAGGCCTTTGCTGCAGAGGACAATCACTTCATAAGGAATTGCAAAAGACTTATATCTCTGAGCAGTGCTGTGGCCACCATGCCCCAGTATGAATTCCGGCAAATCTGTGACACTAAGCTGGAAAGCATTAGCAGAAGGCTGACAAACTACCAAGAGGTAAAACACTACTAGTTATGGGGGAGTCTCAAGAAAATACTTTGTTGTGATAACTGGTTCTAAATATTCTTTATTAACAAATCCGAACTGCTTTAGAGGTAGGTGTCCTAGAGGCATGAAAAGACCTCTGCAACTTTTGGAAATTACACGTTTTGAGGTAAAAGGTCCTTATCTGTAAATCACTCCTTTCAGCTTGTTGAAGCTGTGACTTATAATGTATTATTGAAGATTGATTTCCACCATATCAGTGAATAAATATGACAATGGAATGATCAGTGTGTGATTTAACATGAACACAAGTATAGTGTATCGTAGCGTAAACAATCTGCTTTTTTTGTGCAGTTACCTGAGCTATTTGAAAAGAGCATCCTAGAAGGTATAGCTAATTGCTTTCATTCTTTGTTTTATGAGTTGTTGGGATTTTTTTGGCATGTTATTCCAGCTGCTGCAGAAATCATATGACTCTGGAATAGGAGGCAGGAAGAGGTTGTCTGTATTGCATCATAATTTTTTGCAATTGAAGTAGCACGTGCTTGCTTTAATTCTCCTAGTTTGCAGCTGAATTAAAAACAAAGGTGAGCCCAGCCTTCAAACAAGCCGTCATGGAACCACATTCCCTCAATAGCATGGATTTCTGTCCCACCAACTGCCATGTTAACCTCATGGAGGTATCATACCCCAAAAACACTACCTCAGCAGGGAGGTCGTTCAGCATTCGCATTGGACGGAAGCCCTCTATTATTGGTCTTGATCCAGAACAAGGTAATAATTAACTTTCAATTTGTACTGTATAGAAAGTTGTGTCTTCTACTGCTCACCAAGGTCAAAATAAGTTACAAAGAAACACAGTTTTGCCAGTACATTTTTTTCCTCCTTAAAATTTTATAGTAAAATGACAGCCTCTTTGTGCTGTAAAATATTAATGCCTTTAAGTATAGAGCAGCTTCAGGTCAAATGTTTTTACTAGCTAAGCAGTGTGGTTATCTCATGAAAATTAACTGTCCTTGAGGGTTTGCACTTAGAAGAGGTGACACTGACTAAAACAGAAGTGGATGGGGGCTAACAGTAGTGTGGGTGCTGTGATGAGTGGCTGCATTCAGGGGGAAAACACGAGTCAATTGGATTGTAATGCTGTTTTCTTTCATCATTACTAAATAAATTCCATGCATTGGAGCTGAAAGTCTCTATTCTGTCAAGGGAATCTATTTTCTGATAAATAGCTTCTACGTAGCATTTGTCCTACAACCAGATTATTTGAGTTCCAAAATTTCTTCATCATGATCTCACCTAATGTGCTTCTGATTCATTGTCTTGTGAAGGTCAGAGTGCAGGAATGATTGAAAGAGACACAGGGAGATGTAGATTAACCAGTTTTCTGAAGAATAGCATAGACTGTTCAAAATGAGGTCAATAAGCCTTGCTTACTTGAAGATACTAAAATTCCATAGTGTTTGTACTGCGAGCTAAGGTGGTTAGCAAAGTACCATACCAAAACTGTCAGCATTTTAAAATTAAAAGGAATTGTATTTATCTTCTGTAAGAACATAATCATATTTCTTTATATATATAATGTGTGTGTACGATTATAAAACTGGAATAATAACAGACTACCTCCTGACAACCTGAATTCACTAACATTTCAACAAATCCTTTAGATACTATCCAAGTTGTCTATATGAGTAGATGTGTGAACAGTTGCTGTCTTCCATAATTTAACCTGTTTCTGGACTGCAGTAAATTCAAAACATCTAGTTGGCATGCCAGGAAAAACAGCCTTCCTCTTTTTTTTCTTTTTTTTTTTTGAGATTGCTTTTGTGACAGAATGTGACTATATAAGATAATTCACAGAATGTTTTTTTCCTGTTAAAATTCCAGCTATCCTAAACTATCATTACTGGGATAGAGTGCAGAACGTCATGAGAGCTGTACTAACTAGAACCTTCATTGTTTAGTAGGTACCTTAAATCCAGTCTCCTATACTCAACATTGCATCACCACTATGGCTGCACCATCCTGGAGATGTCTGACCCCAGATGACGGAGATCTCAATGGTAGCTTTAGCCAGCAGAATGGAGGAACAGTTCAGGAAGAAAGGGGACTCAGTTTTCTACTGAAACAGGAAGATCGGGAGATCCAGGACTCCTACTTGCACCTTTTTAACAAACTTGACATTGCAGTGAAGGAAATGAAGCAATACGTCATTCAGATAAATAAGTGAGTAAAGAATCCTGTGTGCACTGCAGAGAGCAACTCTGATAAAAGTTGCATTAACCTCAGAAAACACATGATGCCTGTCGGCCCCAGCTGTCCTACTCTTATACTCACTTACAGTCACACTTGCACTTGCATTACAGCTCCTTGCTGGTTGTGTCATGCCTACTCCTGTGCAGATCCACCAATGTATATATTATTTCCTCTGCTCCTCAAAGTCTACCTGAATTCAACAGACACTGTTTTTCTTACTGTATGCTCCAATTTAAGAATCTTTTTGGTGCCAACAGCAGATTTGGAATTCCCGACAGAGTCCCTACCCTTGAGACTTGTCTGTCATAAAACAGACTAAGCAAAACTTGTGATTTCAGACAGATTTCTCTATGGCACCTGTTTTCCTTTCCTCTTTTTGTTTTTTTCTCTCTCCCTCATCATGGGACTCCTAGTAGTAGTAATGAAGGCTTTGAGTAGTGAGTCTGTATATTGTGTGTAACTGGCAGGGTTTTGGTGGTAGGGACTGCAGGGTGATCTGTGTGGGAGAAGGCCATAGGCTGCCCTTAGCCACTCACAGACACTTCCAGGAATACCAGTAACAAAAAAGAACAGCCATCGTGCACCATAACTTCACCTGACCATGAAACACGCAGAGCCTTGGCTCAAACATATTTAAGAAAGGGCAGTAGCTTCTCGGTGAAGCCAGGGAGCTGAGACACTGCCTCAGAGGAGCTACCCAGCGCCTTGGATGGAGAAAGTGAGGACTATGATGAATATAAACAAAATCATTTCAGGCCACTGTGCTTACATTGATTAAGTTGTGCGGTATGAAGGTAGGGTACCCATGAAAACAGGACCTTTCTTGAACTGAGATTCATGGATTTCAATGAAGCCCTTTCAGAGCTCACTATTTTACATGGCTGTAGTCTATGTAAAATTCTGGCAAGGTTGTTTTTTATTTCACGTAACTGAATTCCAGCCTTAGTCATTTTACTTCATTTGTGAGACCACCCACCACTCCCTGAGAGCTGTATGTTTTACTTTTGCAGACTTTTGTCCACCATAACAGAACCTACAGAAGGTGGTGCCTGTGAGCCATCATCTACCGAGGAGACATCTCCACCTTCCCTGGGAACAGAAGAGAGTGATCCTGACAAAGCTGAGCATGGTGGGATCAAGAAGGTGTGTTTCAAAGTTTCTGAGGAGGACCAGGAAGACTCTGGACATGACACAATGAGTTTCAGAGACTCCTACAGGTTAGTCTGAAGATTGTGCTGCTTTTACCTTACTAATACAATGTTTCAAAGTTCTAACCCAAGTATGGATTCGACAAGCAAATTTATTTTCCAGTCAGATATTCTGTATTCACTTAAAGTAATTCACTGTACAGTATTCACTAGCTGTAGTTATTTCATTACATTTATTACCATGGATGCATACCCAGCAAAAAACCTTTTCTCATAACAGTGCCAAATTAAGTAGGTATGGTCCTTCCTCCCCTTTGTGTATCGTATTGCTGGAAACTGCAGAAGTTCAGCAGAGCTTGCAGACTGCTTGGTCTTCTACGGGGATATTCTGCTGCTATTCTAAGGGGATATTTCCATTCAGTTTTGCAAACAATTTTCCTAAAAGTTTAAAACACTGAGAAGCAGAAATGGACATTGAGTTTTTTATTTTTAGTGGGCCTTTGAAACCACAAATGCAAATGTTTATTCAGGTGCCTCAAAATCTTGGTTTTTGGGATGTGATTGACTGCTGCTTCTCCAGGAAAATTTGCTATCAAAGGAAATCTCACATGCTCCAAATCTGTCTGTTGGGGAGGAAATATTTGGAAACTCAGCTTCAGACGAAATGGAACAAGTTGCAATGCCTGACCATTGCAATTTTACATCCTTAATACGCCTTTTTTACATTTATAATAAGGCCCTGGGATTTTGCCAGTATGAAGGAGTAAGGACACTTTACAGTGAGTTGGGAAAATTAGAGTAACCTGAATGAACGATGCATCTCAAACTTCCACACTACAGGCCTGACTCTTTAGTTGCTGTTGGTTTTCACACAGAATCACAGAACGTTAGGGA